CAGTATAGATCACGGGTCGGCAACGTTTGGCACGCGACTCGCCAGGGTAAGCACTCTCCGGGCCAGGCCAGTTTATTTATCTGCTGACGTGGCAGGTTCGGCTGCTCGCAGCCCCCACTTGCTGTGGTTCGCCATTCCGGGCCAATGGATGTGCTGGCCCCGGCTTCCCGCCACTCCCTTTGGCCCGGGACGGTGAACCGCAGCCAGTGGGGGCTGTGATCGGCTGAACCTGCCACGTTAGCAGGTAAATAAACTGGCCCGGCCCGCTAGGGTGCTTACCCTGGCGAACCGCATGCCGAATGTTGCCAACCCCTGGTATAGATCATGTAGAACACTGAAGAGGCTGCCCCATGGAAGTTGGAAAGTCCATTAGAAGTTACTATAGCTCTTGGATTTTAGCTTTGTGTAATTGCTATCTCAACCCATCTAGGCTGGTGTGGTCTACCACTCCACTCACCCTCACTAATCTTTAATTCTAATAAAGTGTCCTCCCTAACTTACTATGATACTTAGATGAGCAAATTTGATGGTAAAATGAGTTAAACAAATAGGATGCATTTCAGGCACAAGCCTTTATGTATGACCTTAAAACAACTACACTAGTTTAATTTGTTGAGAATTACTTTAAAAGAGGTGATAATGCTTGTTTGGCATTTTATGCATAAATACCTAAAAGGGTTGTTAAAACAAGCAGAAGTTTTAAACTTTGAAATCAGGAGTGTCAAGTCTGCCCTGGTTGTAGAGGACTTGCTGTCATCTATATTGCTTTCTCCACCTTTAAGCAGGAACTAGTCTTGCACAGGTTACCTTAATTCTAGTATTTACTTCTGCAGTACTTCCTGCTGTAACCTTATTCCTTTAAGTCTTTTGTATGGAACTATTTAACCTAAACTAGCTCTTCTGAAAAGGTTCACTTTCTGTGTTGGGCAAAAGGGATAGCATTATAGCTTGTGAATTTGAATACACTTATATTGGAGTGTTCCTTTGCACATTATAGTGGAGTACAAGTTTTCATTGAACCATTTCTAGCGCTGCTTGTTGTGAAGATCATCTTGGAACCAACCGATGCTCGTCTTCCTGAACTAGAGCATGATTTTTCATAGGTACTGTATATCCACAGCTGGAACAGTGCTGAGCACTCCTGAAAACAATACCTTATGAGCATCAAGTGCACAACTAGACAAACATGAACACGCATTAGTGGCTACCTCCCACAATCTTCCAGTCTACTTTCACTCCAGCCCTTTCAACTTCTGCAGTAAATGAAGCAGAGGTCCAATAATCAACAGCTTCATTCCCTTAATGAGGTCAGGGGCCTGGTAGGAAAGGATGATTCAGTAATTAAGTTTACCTGTGCATCATCTTTAATTCAAGCATTTCGTATTTGAGTGCCTCACTTTGCAACATGGTCTTTGAACACAGGGTTTTTTATTTTTCAACTAGAATTTTAAAAAATCCAACCCTTTGTGCCCCTATTTTTTAGAGGGCAGTAGAGTACTGAATATAAGGCTTCTGGGCTTGGAGTGTGAACTGATAGAGCTGGGGACAGAGTTGGGACTCCTGCATGCTACTTTTTTATTTTTAAAGGGTGCTTTATAGTATTTGTCAATGCACTTTGTACAGATGGTTATGGAGGAATAGTCCCAATTCACAGATAGCCTAGCGAAGCACACAGATTTTATATATTTTGCTGACAGGCAAGCATGGATGGAACTCATCTGCCATATTCGATAGCTAGGTTCTATTCCCAGCTTTAACAAAAGTGACTCTATACTACACCTCTGGCCTTCAATCACTATCTATGAAATGGGACACTGCTCAATAAAAAAGGGTGCAAACGATAGAGAATTGACATTAATCCATGGAAGAAATGGGACTAGAATTAATCTTCTGGCTCCTAGGGCAAAGCTCCTTCCCCTCAGGCCAAAGGACAGCTTGTGGAGTTGTGTGCAGTTGACAGGATACAAGCTTTGAGGGAGAATTTTTTTTTTTTAAGAAATAACTAAGCATATAAACTACTAGGCATGTGCAAGTGGCTATTTTCTAAGATTTATAACTCAGCCAGGTATAACAGGAGAACTATTTTCCCCCACTGCAAATTTGCAAACCCCCTACTGTCACCGAGTTAGAGCTATTTTTAAAAAGTGAGAAAAACAGGACTGCCTATTTTTCCCACCTACTTTCGTTATCAAAAACTGCCAAAACTTTGAATCATTTTAAAAAACAAAACAAAGCCCTCATCCTGTGATGGAGTACAAGCACAGAAAACATGAGGCCAAAAATTAGCTTGGTAACTTTATAAACAACTGAAAACATTTCACTATTGCTCCCCCTCTGATACATACTCTCTACATTACTGCTTTGGCACAGATCTTAATTACTGTTTACTGACCAATGATTAAGATTATGAACTTGTGCGGCTTTATTGACTGAGTTGGGTACAACAATTGAAGCATCATTCTACCCCCCCATCCAGTTGTAGATTTGTTATAGCTTAAAATTCACATTAACCACAAATTCATACAATCAACATCAGGCAGTGTGTTAATTTGAGATTGGAATAGACAATTTCATATCTCCTTACCAGGACATGCAGGGGAGAGACACTTTTACACTGCAATTCTCATCAATTTCATCGCTGGACTTTCTTCCCTCCCATTTAAACCAGGTCATTTGCCTATTCTTTTTAGTTTTAAAAAGTAAGCAATATGGCCAGTTGCAGTACACCATTGACTTAAACCCCAAACAAGACAGAAGTGGTAATGTTAGCATTGTACAACAGTGCCACAATTTACCTACCTTCTTGGAGGGGGTAACATTACTGGCCCAGTATCTGTCCAGCAGTACATACCAGCCTTTTTCTAGACTATGATAAGCTGTGCAGCCTTGTACTGGCTATAGGCAAAAGTACTACAACAGTAGCTTTACCAAGACCAGGGAAAACTGCATTATAGTACAAAAGAGTATGAAAGTGTTAACATTCCATATTGAAGAGAAACTTGCATGAGGTTCAAAGAGAAATTGCATGAGTTTTAAAACAAGGGTTTAGATTACTGATGCCCTCCAGAGTCTGCCTGTTGAATTTAGTCATTTAAGAAATAATTACATCACTAATGTAAACAATATAAACATACCAAAAACTAAGTATGATTTAAATACATTTTTGATGGTACAAAAGAAAATCCTGAAGGTGTCTGTACAGTTTTTACAATGTGGGAATCACCAATGTATTTACAACATGAAACGGGGAAATACCTTTCTTGTGCAGAATAAAATTATCTGAAATAATGTCAATATAAAAAACAATATCTAGCGGTGTGAGGCACTCCTGAAGATGGTGGCATTGGGCATGCTTTCCTTTGGTACAAGTCCCATCGCTTGGAGAGCCGCAGTTGCTGCTGTGGCTTTAGCATGCTTCTTATTAAGGCTGGGAAAGCTAGGCCTGTATTCATGCCCGTTGACCATCACCTGTTTAAGAGAAAAAATATACAATAAAATAAGAGATTTAACCAGTTGTTTGTTACTAGTACAGGAAAAGTTTGTTTACAAGAGCCAGAAAGAGCGATATGCAAACTTCCTATTAAAGGTATGCAAAATCCACCTCCAGCATCACCTGCAACACGCATGCATGTCCTCACTCAAGTCTCTATTACATTTATGAACAACTCCATTGGATTTAAATGCTGAAAGACAAGCAAGCACAAAGTATGGGGCTGCACTGAGGATGAGGAAATTAAGATTCCTCAAAAACATCAATTCGTGAGCTCTTCACTATTATTCAAAGTACAAAAACACTCATTAAGTTTTCCTCATTCTCTACATTTTTCTCTCATGCTAGCACACTTTGCATCTTGAAATTGTGTCTTCACTTCCCTTTCTGTCTCATTTTAGGTATGGGTATAATTCAGATGTAGCAAGTTATTCATATTTATATTCTAATAACACCAAGGCCCCACTCACGCTCAGAGCCTCACTGCAAACACAAAATAAGAGAGTTCCTGCCCAAAAGAGCTTATAATCTAAATATACAAGACATTGATAGACAACATATTAGGAAAATGTCAAAGGGCCAACTAATATTTTTTATTGGACTAACTTCTGTTGGTGAGAGGTCGTCTTCAGGTCTAAAAAATATGATCTCACCTACCTTCTCTCTAATATCCTGGGACTGACATGGCAACAACTACACCACATGCAAAGATCCAAGTATTTTAAAAAACCCTGCTCCACCTAACTCTTCCTCCCCAGTCATTGTGCAGAGCCTGTTATACCAGGCTGCATCTCCAACAGCAAATGGGAGACTACATAGCAAACTTCTGTTGTAATTTAGCACTATTACAGCTCCACCAGTGAAAGCTGTTGCACCCACAGGGCTCTGGTGTTTTTACCATCGTATCAGCCAACGCTACTTGAGACTACCTTTGAAAAGGATTCAGAAGCTCCCTCATGTGATACAGAAAGGAACTGCTTGCCTCAAAGGGGATGAGTATATGATGTCTATTATTATTAATCGTGTTTATTACAGTAGTACCTAAGGAACAACTATGAATGGGGTGCAATTGTACTAGGCACTGTACAAACAGTCCCTGCTCTAAAGCAAGTTAGGTTGCTAGTTAATGTATTTAATAAAGATCTATTAAATAAGACTAAGGTGGGGACCTAATAGTAGCTGAGAGACTGTCTTTCTCCCTACATCCCCTCCAGGCAGTTGTGGTCTGCTGGTTTGCTTTTGCTTCTTGTGACTGAACTCTGGGATTAATGGCAATGCATTCTCAGTGGTGGGCCCACTTTTCTGGAATCTGCTCCTTGGGGACAACAATAATAGACTCAGTGTTTAGCAAACTTCATGGAGCAGTGCGAGAACTCTTGTTTTGTTAAAACTACTAATTTATTCCAAGACCATTTTAGGAGCCAGATAGGCATTATTTTAGACCTACATTTCTGAACCTAATACTTTACAGAGCCCAGGTTTAGCGTGATAAATTAAAATAATTGGTAAGAAACTACCATTAAGGCAGAAAAAGCGTATGCCTGTATTTATTCTTTCTATATGCAAACCTTTGAAATTAAGTATAGGACAAGATGTTATGGCCTGGACTCCTGTAAAACTGCAGTGATCTTTTCCACAATGCTTGAGAATTTTTCTCCCAGCGAGGGAGAGAAGTCACTAATACATTTTTGTGATCTATTTCTCGCTGTCAGTTCTTTAGCAGAAGAGTAGTCATTTTCAGAGGCAAACATTAATGCAAGATTCACGTGGAAAGAGAGTACGCTGGACTAAACTGACTAAAGAATAAAAAAGGGTTAAATCCTGCTCAACTTCTTCACAAGGGCCGTTGCACTAAAGCTTGTTCATGGGACTATGACAGGTAACTCATTTAAATAGGCAGTGGGAAGAATGGCTTTTAGCCTCTTCAGAGTTACAAACGTGCATAAGTGTTTGCAGGTTCTGGGGTTAAATTGTAAGCTCTTTAGAATAAGGACTTTGTATTCCTGTGTGTTTGGACTGTGCCCAGCACATTGGGGGCACTACTGGAACACAAAAAAAATGAAATTAATAATACTAGATTTATCATTTCTAACCGAGTACTAGACATGTCAGAAAAGGGAATTCAAGCTTACCTTGAAGATAAAATGTTTGCGATGATCAGGCCCACTATCATCCACCAATACGAATACAGGTGGTGACCATCTTCTTTTATTACATATCTCCATCAATGCAGAAACTGGATGTTTACCTTTAATATATCAACATATTTTATTTCTATATTAATTCCAATGTTACTCCTAGACAAGTTACCTTAAATTAGATATTTTAAAGGAGTTAAAAAAAGGCCTTACCTGAAAGATCCTTCATTACACTAAAGTGTCCCGATCTCTTTTGTGTCTTTTCTCCCACTGCAACAAGGCCTAAACAAAATATGGACCATGTTTATATCTTGTGTTACTTTCTACCGCTATAAACCTGATTTTTGCATTGAGCTCTTGCTATTGGAGCATGGGTTTCTCTCATTCCATTAACCAACAGCATGCATTAATGACGCCTATCTATGATGACGCCAACTGTAGCACAATCACACATTCAAAAGCCTTTTAATCTCTCCCTTCATTTCAACACTACTATTTTTTCACACTATGCCAATCTTCTTAACTTGTTCCATTAATTGTTCCATTGAGACTGTAACTAGTCTGTCAGTCACCAGGAAGTACAAAGCACACTAAGGAAGGCACTCTTCCCCCTCAGAGAGCTCAGTACTTCACTGCTCATGTCACCTTTGGGAAAAATGTATGGCAGGAGCTGAACTAAAACTCAAGAGACTCACAGATGCAGGGCTCCTGCAAGCCACCCAGTGTTCAACATTCCCCTCCCGGCCCCATGTACTTCAAGCTTGTTGAAAAGTCATGGAAAACCTAACCTGCTGCAATTGTCTGTTCTCAGGAGGAAGGAAAAAATAAGTAGGTGATTTAAAAAAAAAAAAAAACACATTCTGTATAGTTCTGAGGCAGTAGCTATCAAACTTTCATTCTGTTAATTACTTTGTACAAGACATCCTCTCGTAAGCCATGTCCTCCACTCCAAACTTCCAATCCCAAGATTTTAAAGGGTAAGATAAAACAATCAATCTGCCTATAGCGTAAGGAAATACATGCAGTGACCCACCATTTTCCTTTAATAAAACATTTTACCCTCATTAATTTCAAAAATGCCTTTACTTCCTCTCAAGTGACACTTTTAAATACATGTAAAAATAAAACGTTTGAATGACAATCGCTCAACTTCTTTTCCTTCAATCCTTTCCTTTTATTTTTCTTGTTTCTTACCTAAACTGGATTCCTCTCCTGGCTTCTGGGAATGAAGGAAGTAAAGGGGACATACTGCTGTTTTTCACTGCTGTTCGGTTTTGTTTTTTTTAAACTCACCCCCTCATTACCACCAACCCTTCACCCTCAGAACTTCAAACATAGTTTATTTTAAGGGATTATGGCCCCAAATTACCTCCAAATTCAAACAACCTAACGTTTCTTCCTTTTTCTTGTTGAAAATTATTTACATCAGAAATAATTACAAAACTGAGGTTACAATGAAGGGAGGAATCCTATAGCACATTATGTTTCACATCTGGCAGCTTGAGAGGTATGGCTCTGAAGCAACTAATGGGAAGAAGATGTTCTGCTTTCCACTGTTAACTGAAGCAGTGTGTTTTTACACCTTGCAGCTGCTGAGAAGGGAGCTCGCACAGCTTAATGGCAGCCAACAGAGCAAAAGAGTAGCTTGGTGGCTGCAGGCCTGGAAGCTGTTCAGGCCATGCCTGAGAGTAGCTGGGTCTGGTGCAGAGCCATGGGAAAGGCTGGCAAGATCTGGATTCACACCTTGCTGCTGTTTCCCAAAATAGCTTTACTGAACAAAGTTAATTGACTGTCCCTGGATGTATGTTCCCAGAAGTCAAAATACTCACTATTTGTTAGTAACTTTACACAAGATTTCAAAAATTGTTTTCTTTTATAAGAAGGGAAAAAGAAAATTACTTTGTCCATTTAATTTTTTGGCAGAACACTAACCCCTTCTAGATAAGGTTCCAGTCTGGCTTTCAGCAGTACACACACATTGGTCAAGGCTGTCCACAACCCTTCTTCATACTGGTTTGCACAGCACTTGGCATAGATTTGGCATTTTATAAACAACAGCATCAGTATATTCCAATGCACTTTATTGCCCACCCCATGTACAAGAATCACTTCAGCTACCTATTTGTAACAACCCAAGTTGCCTCTTTATAGTGTACATGATCTTAACATTAGGCACCTATGTTGGTTTAGCGAAACTTCAGCACTTCTCCCTATCAATCTGGGTTTGATTTTTTTAGGGAGCCTGTTGGAAAGGATCATCTATCTGATAAAACTGAAAACAGGAAAAAAAGGATTAAATTAAAACAACCCGGGGATCGCTGCAAGGATATCAATATTTGTCGGTGAACCTATACCAAGAAAGGGAAGATGCATGGTCAGAGCTCTCCTCAGATGGATGCCAGCAGTCTTACTAATAACTTTGCTTGTATGCTGTACTCTTCTTCTCCACCTCTCTGGCCATCTTACTAAATAGTAAGTTCTTTGGGGCAGTGAACATATCTGCCTATTTGTTTGTACAGCGCTTAGCACAACAAGGCACTGGTCCTGGTACAGGTCTTCAGGATTATATAAATAATCATTGGGATGAATGTCAAACTCTACAGATGTAAGAAATGTTATCAGATACCACAGAGGTCCCCAGACACTCAATAAGGTTAGTACTCCCAATCATGGTTGTGAGCCTGTCACATAACCCATTCTGCAGGCTGCTCAGAAAAAGAGAAATGACCTTGAAGGAATTTTAGTTTAGTTTATAGATCTATATAGTTCTTCCCCGATACCTGTGACATTACCCACATAAAACTGAAGGAACTGTTATCAGCAATGAGAGCTTTACAGGACAGAGCTGCTGAAAAGGCTGTGCTGCAGCTCAACAAGAAGTTTTCTTCCTGGAACATCTGTCAACTAATTCTTCTCCAAACTCGCTCTCTCTCTCTCACTCTAGCTCCAATCTGGCAAGATGTCTGACAGAAATGAATAGTTGTAAAGCAGGTTTAGCCACTTTGTATGAAAACTCATTTGTTTTCATGGCTTCCTTTACTATATTTTTGGACTGTTTCATCGCTCAATTATAAAGCCATTGTGTAGACTGCTAAAGGAACTATAAACTTTAGACAGGATCACAATCTTATACTTGTAAAACGGAAGAGTGAGACTCCTCAGTCTCCATTTCCTGACTCCACACAGACAATTTTTACAATCTTGACTATAACACCTTATTTTCAGTGCATGATTGGTACTTTGAGAGCATTCCGCTATTGGGAAATCTCTATGTGGACAGCTAGGGTCTGGTTTTTAGTATCTGCAGTTTTCACTGACTTACCAGCACCTATGAAAATCAGGCCTATAGAGTTTAAGTTTATGTCCTTTGTTTCTTTTCTGATTGAAACTATGATTGAATGAAAACTCTGCTTTAAATGTCTGTAAGCTTAAATGTGATCTACGTAATGTAAAGCTCAAAAAGGTTAAGGAACAACTGGTAAATATTTGGTTTTCTACTTAAACTACAAGCCAATGTTAATCTGGTTTACCAGTGCACATTATGAAACAATATAGGTGAAGTCAATTGGAATTTTGCAGCACATTTAAAAATTTTAACTTTAAGAGCTTAAAAACTTTCTTTCTGAATCACAGCATACCTCAGCATGCATTGTAAAATAAAAATGCTGCGGAGTTTGCATATATATGCACAATACCCAATTGTGTAATCTGGGCAGCTCATTTAAGCCACAGTAGGGTTCTGATCCTGCAGACATGCTTATGCATGTGTCTAACTTTAAATGGAAGAGGAGCCCCATAGACTTATAGAAAAGTATTTATGGCTTTAAAGGCTCATGCCTAAATGTATGTAGACTAGGGCGTAAGGGGTCAGTATCAATACGACTATTTTTATTGTAATATTTTTATAGTAATATACATATTACAGTGAAAATAATTGCCATATACTAAGATTGTTCTATTCTTTGCTATAATAGACAGAAAACCATTATCAGTTTTATAAGGTTTTAAAAGGATCAAAGAAAGAGTTTACCTTTTCGATCTGTCTTAAAATCCACTAGGATAGGCTCCACAGTTCCTTCTCTGTTTTTTCCTAATCCCTCTCCTTCTCTCCAGCCCATTTTTCTCATCAGTTGGGCTCCCATTCCTCCAGTTACAGGGGCTGCTCTTAAGAACTGATCCTATCCAAAGAAAGAAAAGTAAAACAAGTCCTAAAGTTAGCACTTGATTTTAAAAAAATAACTGGGAGCTTCCAAAATGTTTCTAACAACCTTTCATTGATCAATTCAAGTGAATACACCTTAGCTTTACATACATTTACATGGCTTGTAGAAACCAGAGTTCACAATATACAAGTTAGACACATAATTTGTTCAAAATATCAAACTAGAAACAGTTTAAGAAAATTTTAATGAGATCCTTTAAGTCAAAAATGGCAATTTTAAACATTGACCTGTTTCAAACGTGTACGTAATAAAATGATAACCAACGTTTATTTTTAAACACATTACTTTGGTTCCAATGTATCTCTTCTTATCTTGTGAAAGGAGGCAGTGTTAATTGTTTAACTAGCAACATTTGTGCCAAGTGTACCTAGTTATTGAACAAAATACAAGCAAATATAGTAATGACATTCAAATACTGTTTAGGCATATTTTAAATATGAATAATGCTTCCCCGCTTTATTACGCAGCAGTTGCAGACACACATTTTACTCTGAAAATCCACATAGAACAGTTACAGGCGTTTCTTTAAAAACAAATGAACAAAAATAAGGTACTTAGCCACACAGTTCAGCAGCAGTAGTTGTAATATCATTGTCTCAAATCATCATTACATATTAGTTGTTAAGTGTCGTAAGCTTATCAAATAGAATTTTTAAAAATCTGTTTTCTTGTAAAGAACTTTAAAAACTCCTTAAATGTTTACGTACCTAGGCCTCGATGGCCGCAGTGTTGTGAATAGTAGGGCTGGCATTGACCGTGGCAAGAAGGCAGCTACAAGGATTTGACCCTGAAACAAGTTTCCATATAGAGGGGTGAAAGTTCACAGGTTATTCTGTGAACTATCATCTCTCTTCTGCCCCACCCGCTGACCCAAGTAAGTCAGTCATTTCCATCACAGCAGCAAATTGCTTGACTTAATATACAAGTTTACACATTGGTATTGATAACGCAGTTATTCTCACACAGTAGGTAATAGATACAACACCTAGTATTTTTGTAGCATTTACCTATGTTTCAAAACAGTGGTAAGTTCACGGAACACTTTTTTCTTTATTTTATTTTTTTTACTGTGTTTGACGTACTAAATATTTCCCAGATTTGAAGAGACGAAGACAGATATTTCCTTGGTTTCAAATATAAGCAGAATTAGAAGTTTTCCTTTTTCCAGGAGACTTAGAATATATATATCCTTAATAAAAACTATTAGCCTCTCAACACAGGCAATTATGGCACATACCAAGGACATATGCATCATAACCCCCCACATTTCCTGTTGTTAAGAAGTTAAATCATAAAAATTCCTGAACATGTATAATAGGAATAGTTTTCCAAATATTTACCTATATAAGTAACAAAACAAATCCCTAGAAACCATGCAACTGAATGCTGAGTTTAACAACAAGGTGCTCTGATGGAAGGAAGGGTAGACAGAGGCTAAGTTTACCTCTCCAGTCAACTTTCGATCGGTGCAGGCCATGCAGTTTACGTGTATGCAGAGACAAGTTAGCTGATGTTCGATACCAACTGCCTCACTCTATACACCTAGAATGGCTTTTACTTACTTCCGGTTTCATCCTCCCCTGTCTTTTCCAGGAACCTCTCATAAGAAAAGGTCAACCATGCAGAGTATGATACAAACCCCAGTCAATGTCACCCAGGGTTCCGATTCCTCTTTTGTACCTGCTTTGCAATGATAGAATTTTCAACATCAACATCTGTTTCATTATCACCAACGTGTATTCAGTTCACAAACCAGAGTAGGAGCAAGTTCTTGATGAGGTCACTTTCATGTTATAGAGCTTTCCCATTACAATTCCAAATTAATTTTGGAAAAAAAGACTCAAAATATACCCATCTCGTGGCTTAAAATGAAGGCATTAATTTTAGACAGAAAATATCAAAGCCTAAACAAATCCTAAACCTAGAAAAAAAAAATCTAACTTTCTCTAAACTTTTAATGTGCAATTGTACTTCAAAATTACTGTAAACATGGCATTGTCTTACTCAGATCTGCTTCTTGTGCATTCATATCTTGTATTGATATCTGCTGATTTTAGTGGCAGACCATGTTTCTACTGCTTTTCACTCTTGTTAGCACAACAGAGCAAACACAGTTAAGAATGAGAGCTGGATTCTATTCCTTCTTGTGCTTCATTAACAAAGCCATTTACTACACTGCAAACAGTTACACCTGCACAACCCCTTTGCCGGCTGCAGAAAGTTTGTTTCTCACACATCACTACCAGAAATAAAGAGCTCAGCTTGTCTCACATTTCAATTAAAGAGAACAAGTATTGCAGGTCAGAGGAAAAACAAAACAAAACTTTTTACTTATAAATAGAGGAGAACTGAAATATAAATCATGAAAGAAAAACATGAAGCCATACAATGCCATTTATACAGTTACATTCAGAGTGAAACTGCACTTTAAAGCAAATGTGAAAAAGGACATTTATAAAATGTTAATTTTTTTAATTAGATAATTAATGGAACTAAAAGGAAACAGCATGGTCTAGAAAACTGAACAAAGTACTTGAAATGACCAAGTTCCAAGTCCACTCTGCCACCGATTTGCAGTGTGATGTTGGAAAAGACACTTCAACTCTTTGTCTCAGTTTCCTTCTCTCCAAATAGAGATAATACTAACTCACCCACCCTGTTATCTCACGGAGGTATTTGTAAGAGCTCCATATTTGTAATGAACTTTGAAAGTGTTTTAAAAAAAAAAAAATCAAGTGATGCAGGACATGTGAAAGATTCAAATTCCTTTTTATTTTAAATTAGGCAGGCAGAATACCAGACTAGACAGTCCAATAGGATCATCAGGTACAGTAAATCCTATGTTCCTAATTCTTTTCATTATCATTGTCAAATGAGTTTCATAACAGATTAAAAAAATATTTCCCATTTACCCAATCTCTATTCACAAATTGTATTACAAGAGAAACTGCTCATCAAGATGACAGTTTAATGGCAACTTCTCACCTGTTAATCTCCAAGCCCTCCTATGCCAGACCAGACAAGTGGGTACATCTCCTACCAGCAGATGAGGACGAACAAAGAGCAATGCTCTTGTGACACCACTTCTCCTATAAAGGAGGCTGGCTGGCAGATCCTGCTCAAATAATTTAGAATGCTTAATGCTTAAAACTACAATAGGAAAATAACTTCAGAACAGTTTCAACTCCAACAACAAAATAAGAACAAGCGTGGGATACCTGGGATGGCACAGGAGGGCTTAAAAACCAAACTAACAGGTAAAAAATTACAATTTTACAGCTTTATGGTATGCCAACAAAGCCCAGATAAGTGGGAACGTCAATAACAAGAGAAAAGGTGAGTACCTTACAAAAAGTAAAGTAAGGGACTACAGTGAGCAGGACCTGGCTACCAAAGATGGCAGCAGCAAAGCCTAAAACATCAAGTCCAGAATGATTTGAGATGGCATATAAATATGCTTAACTGGCTGCTTTCTACACAGTTCTGGAGGGGAAGAATCCCATCCTCTTCTGTCAGTGAGGTAGACATGATGTTGAAGGAATATGTCTTCACAGAAAACAGAGCTGCTTTATCCTGGCCAATGGTTCCTCTCACACAAGACACTGAAGCTTGCAGATTGCTAAGCCTTTTATGGTTGGGACTCTCAAAAACACCACCACCACCACAAGTGATCTGACTTTATATCTAAGATACACAAAGCCCTCTTCACAGCGAGTGTTTCATGGGGCCAGTCAGAATAAGGAGAAGGAACAGCCTTGTGAATGGAAAAAAACAACTTGGAAGGAAATTGAGAGCAAACTTAATTATACCTTGTCCTGATGAAAAATTAATGCAGGGAATACTGCCAAAAGGAATTACAGAACTCATTCTCTCCTAACAAAAAAGCAAACTGAAAAGAAATGTTCACCCCTCTTTAATGGTGCATGTGAGAGGGCGTTTGGCACTAAATACAGATCTTATGGGGACAGAGGGGGGGAAAAAAAATCTCAATTTTAGCTGGTCAGCTGTCCTAAAAAACATTACCTTCAAAAGTGCGTCATAGAAGAATGCTCTAACTTTGCCTCTTAGTATTACAGTGGGATGGACCCCGAAAGCCAATATTCCAGGCCTTTCAAAAACAGAAAAAAATTTCACTAGTAACTGGACTTAAATCTTCTGACCTTGCATCAAGCTTGAAATATGCCCTAATCTCCTTTTGAACACTTATCAAGCGGTTCAGATAAATCCCTCTTCATGCAGGTCCAACTCAAGAACAAGGGATTCTCCATGCTGAACTGTACCCACAGTGAGAGACAGTGGGTAATCACAGAAGAGATCCAGCCAGCTACAGTGCTACCACCTCCTGAGCCAGTCCAGGAATTCCAGCCAATCCAGAAACACCAGGATGATCTTCTCCCTGAATTTGGCTATCTTCTGAAGGACTGACTATGGTGAGACGTATAGGGAAGATACACAGCAGGTCAAACTCCTACAAGTGAGAGTTAACACCCGCTCACAGGGCCAATGAATCCTGGACTCTGGAGTAAAAGGCCTCTATGTTCACATTCATCCAAAGAGGTACCAACAAAATTCTGAAAAGCACCTATTAGTTTGAAAGACTATTCGCCACCCCTGTTTGTACAATGCCATTACTGAGTGCTTAGTTTTGTTGGTGGGCTTTTTGTTTTGATTTTAGATTGTACAGAATATAAAGCTTTAGAATATTTTTGATTGTGTATCTTCTGGAAGTGATGCTGCATCATCCCTTAGAGCTGTTATCCTGGGAAGACTTCTGCAAAGATACGGGTTTTCCATTCCACTGGGAAGGTACTGATTACAGTGATTTATGTTGAAAGAAAACTCCATTGTAAAGAGCCCATCACAAAGGAAACCTTATCCCCTTCCTCCTAAAAGCTCTGAGCACTGTCACCTCCAGGATTTCTGCTGATCATAGCTCTTGTGCTGGGCCAGAGAGAAAGGAAGTCTCAGAAGCCTCAGAGCCAGTCCATTCAGAGGCCTTTGAAAATTAAATCCAGGGACTTGAAATGGATTCAGTACTGGACAGGGAGTCCACGGAGCATAAGCCACATCAGAGTGTCTTGTTAAACCACCTGACCTTTACTTTCATCCCCAAGCATAGCACACTGTAGCAGACAAGCCTGAAGGTGATGAGCACGTGATAACTTGAAAGGCTGCCTCCACTTCTTGTAAGATCAGAGACGGCCAGACAACTCTCCATTCAAGAGGAAGTGATATCACAAGAGTTTTGTTTTTTCTTGACTCCATCTACTGGCGAAGGGAGTCATACTCACTTGTGGTGAGCACAAGGGAATGTGGAAGACAGGATTTTACCTCTTCAAAATGTCTAGCCCTAAATATAGCTTTATAACAGCCCTGAAAATGCCTTGTTTTACAGCAATAGCACAAATCAACAAAAAAAACATTACACTGTGCAATGTGTTATAAAAAAAAGAACCCAGTTAACAAAACACAAACCAAAAAACCACCTAGTTTTGGAAAAAATGTATTTGTTGTATAATAAACGTGGTAGAGTTTATTGATCTAGAAGCAACTGGTGGTGTTGGGAAAGTCTAAACAAGAGTAAGCCTCAAAAGAACTTGCTTGACGAAAATATTTTACCTACTTCCCCTCAAATGATATTTTGTACAGCAACATTCTGCTTTGTTTTGTTTTCTTTTGTTTCAAGTGATCAGCCTCCAGAGAGAATTTATCCTATACATACTATATGTAATAGGTTAATAATTTCCACATTTGTGAACTGATTACATCATTGATGATAAACAGAAAACCACTTTTCAGAAAAAATAATATTGGTCACAATTGTATCAATGGGATAAAATGAAACCTACAGAATGTTGTTCTTTTGGGAATATTGTTCAACAACCCAATGTCCAAACATTATGAATCAGTCACATTACTAAAACGAAAGAAAATAAAAACACTGCTAGTTGGAATGCCACAGTTATTCAATCTGCCATATTAACCATTTTAAGTAAATAAACTTACATGCCACACAAAATTTTATTAAGGTGAAGTTAAAGTTGCAGGTACATAGCGGTTTCACTACATATTACCTTCCAAAAATACTAATTAAATTTTTGGAAACCCAAATCTTAGAAACCCAGGAAATGCAGAGTTAAGATTGCATTTCTCAAACAAGCAACCCCAACTAACTTAGCTCGCCTCATAGATATGCCTATTATCATCTTTGCATTTAGAGGATCAAAAATGTACACCACACATTGGTTTTATAATCTGTTTCATACATACCTGTCATACTAAGTGCGATGTCTGCATATGGAGACACACTAACTCTGTCTCTACTGACACTTTTGATTCTGCAAAGTGCTGCATGCCTCCAGCTCCTTGCAGGGCAGGGCCCTTAGTAAAGACAGGCATGATTGCTTTCAGTATGCTATTTGTAACAGAAATGTCTAACATTTCTTTGTGCCTGCTGTGTATGACTGTAAGGACAGCCATAAAGCAGCAGTACCACTACATAGCTATGAATAAGACATTCTACTTTTTGTGGTTACCAACAGAAATTTAACATTTTGGTATGATGGATAACGGAGTATGAGTTTAATTTCTCAGGGCATCACTACAAGAGCAGAATTAAGGTAGTTCAGGTGCCTTGCCTGAGAAATGCAACCTGAACTCTGCATTTACTAGTTCGTTCATTTTTTTAAAACTACCATTCCTGAAAGATAATATGCACTCGAAACACTGTGTGCCTGCTTTGCCTTTTGTGTGAGATTTTCCCATCTCATCCACAGAGCTGAGGTCCACCTTGTAAAGTTCATCAACCCTCTAAGTAAGCTCTGTGAGACTTGTCAATAGTCCCACAATTCCTGCAAGCTTTAAGAGACTTGTATGGGCCCCTAAAGCCCTTTAGATTGGGTTTGTGATTGTGGTCACCTGTTAACCCCAGAATTTTGGTGGAATGGGGAAGCTGAAAGAAGCAAAGAGGTCAATCTGAGAAACAGCTCAACTATGCAGAAGAAAGTGTGGGGGAAGCACGAGTACCTCCCTGACTTCTCCACCCAATGGATTCTCCTATGGTCTGCCAGAGAAGAGTTCTGCTGCTGCAAACCACAGGATGTCTATTGGTTAGAGAAAGCATAGAGGTGCTAGTGCTTCTCCCTGCCTACTCCTCCTACATTCGCTGCTGACCACATCATCCCCATCTGGAGCTTTCTGTTTCTGGTAACACCCGCATTCTCAAGTCAGAGGTCAGTTTTCTACACGTTTCTCCCCACAGAGACATGAATATCTTTTGAGAGGGATGACATGCTCAGAAGCAGCTCAGTAGTGCAGGAGAAAAAGGCAGAGGGAAAACACACCTGCCTTCTCCACTCCATGTATTTTGTTAAAGGACAGTCCTGCAACTGCAAGCCACAGAAGACCATCAAAGAATGTCAAAGAAGGAGAGATGGATGAAAACAGGGGGGGCGGGGGGGGCTTGGGAAAGAGGAGATCAAAGGGTCATTCTCCTGCCTTGTTTTGGGAATCTCCTGAGGTATGCAGGAAGAGAGAACCCCAGAGAGCCTTAGGAAGGTTTACTGGCCTCTTTCACAAGCCTTTTACCGGAAAAGTTCTCCTTTTCTCCTCACTGATAAGCCTCTCTGCTGAGTAGTTTTCATTTTGAAGTCTCTCTTGGCCAGGAAAAAGGTAGAGACTCTATTTTTTTAATCACTGGAGCTGATATTCTGAAGCAACGTTACGGATTCAAAATAAACTTTTAAATTAAGACTTTCATAAAGTAAATGTTGATCCTCAGCCCTAGATCTCATCAAGATCCCAGAAAATTTTCCATCTAACAAGTATCTCTTTCCTTTCTATTGTCTTAATTCAAAGCGTGGGGGGAGGAGGGGTGAGAGGAGGTTAGAGTTTTGAAATTTAGTGAACACTTTCTATTTTTAGAGTGTCATGATTCAAGAACCTCTTGTTCAGTTCATGTCAAATTTCTGCCTAAGCTTCAAACCTAACTTACTACTTTTGAGAAACCTATTACTTTTTTGTAGACTGTAGAAGAATGAGCAAAATCAGTCTTGTAACAAACTCAGCTGCTGCAACCTTTGCCAGAGTGAGTGCTGTTACTCATGATTATTTGCCTGTAAAAATGGAAATCTCATAGATTCCCCAGTTTTATTCACTGAAACAGAACTCATTCAACATTGATTTTCAAAGACGAAATATAAAATATTAACAAATTTACAAAAACATATAATTGTATGACACATTTTGCTCAGATGATAGGCTGTTATTTCTCTTATTAACAAGTATCTAGATGCTTGATACTAGATCAATAAACCAGTTGCAACCCCTATTTTAATATTTCAAAATATTTGGCTTGCAGAAATGGTGTTATATAATGCAAACAGAGGCAAGAAAGCAAATGGATGGAACTAATCCAAACAGAACAATTCATCTTGGGACAGAAGTGCTGATCCTGTTCCCATTGAAGTCAATGCCAAAACACCACTGAATTCAATTACATCAGGATCAGGCCCTGAACAATACATTCCAAACGGATTAGCTTAATTGAGGACCTACCACTGCAACAATACCCAAGGTTATGGATGTCAATTCAGCCCATCAACAGTAATAGAATGTGTGAACCAATCTATTTCAAATACCAGCCACACTTTTTTAAAATTTCCATAATGCACCTATCAAGCTTTCTAGGCATCAGAAAACCTGTTCAGATGAACACCTTAATGCATAGCTAGATAGATATGCATTGTTATTATGCCTAGATTGAACGCATATAGTAAATTAATTCAGTTAAGGATATAGTATATTTTCCAAGTACATTGTAGTAGACTGTTAACAACTTTAGTGTGCCATTTTTCATATCTTCCAATAATTTCAATGTTATTTATCATTTGATATTTGGACATATCTGTCTGCATATCATCTACCTTTCTAATCCATGCTTGGGGACCACTGTTGGACAACTCATCTGAGGACAAAATCTGTGCTCCAGTACTTCCTGTGAATTGGCCCGGCAGAGAGTTTGACTGCGCCCAAGCATCAATCTACAAGATAAATCAGCATAAAAACAAAATAAAAATCTGCAACTTCTCTCCATAAATGTAAAGATCCATGCAATTTGTGTTATGAAATGGAACATTTACCTTCCCCCACCCCTTAAAAAAAAACGGAAGTTACTAGATGGTTATAATTTATAACTATTTTTACTTTAAAACATTTAAACCATAGAGTGGCCATGAACAAGTCATCTCCCTATTCTTTACCACCTTACTACAACTCCTTTCATCACTTTTGTAAAGTATTTGTTCTGGAGACAAGTACAAAAATGATTACTGTCTCCCCCAACCCCTTTTCCCCATAATTATAATCTTTTCCGGGACTAGGAAAAACTATTTCTGGTCAATTCCTTAATCAGACATGTGAAGCAGAAAAATCACCAGGTAAACCATGGTATGCCTTATATATCCTAGGCTATGGTATATTTAAAGTACTGTTTTACTATGAAAGATGATTTTTTAAAATAGCATTCTCTCAAGGACTCCTACTTGAACTCTGCCTAGTTTTTTATACTGTGCTCATCACAATTGTTTTGGGCATGTATTTACAAATAAAATTATCATCACCTGTTAACTTCCAGCCCTGCAATCTGAAAATCAAGTTGGTTTACCTTCCAGCTTATGTACCGCCAACAATAAATACTCTGTGGTAAAAATTTAAACTAAAATTTTCAAATCTGAATGCCTAAAGTCAGACTCCTAAAATCCATATTTGGGTATTTATATAGAGAAAGCGACCTGATCTAAAAAGAAGCTTAGCATCATTTTTCACTGACTTCAAAAAACGTTGATAAAGAAAAAACAGTGCAACCCACCTGTTCCTGTGCACGATTTAACAAGCACATGGCCTCTAAGTCAAATGTATTTTCTGTAAGCCTCTTCTGAGCCATTGTTCGTTCATTCATTGCTGTAGAGATGTCCACAGTCTAGGAAGAAATACAGCTTATTTATTTTTTAAAACAGATTGACTGTAATAATGCGTTCTTGCTCTAGAAGCATTTATTGCAAAATAAGGGGATATGCTACAAAAGTTGTGTTATGCATTTGAAAGTAGTAAATTGAAATGGAAAACAGATTCTACAAAAAAAATTAATCTGACAATTGCTTGTTAAACATGTATAATCTGAGTTTTATAAAATTAATAGAAATTGTGTAGGGATAAAGTACAATATAGTGCAGTGTTCCCCAAACTTTTTCGTCTGGCAGATGCCAGACGACGAGCCACGGAGGACCGTGGTGGCGGATGAGCATCTGCCGAAATGCTGCCGACAAGCGGCATCATCCAGAGGCGTCGCCGCCGAAATTCGGCGGCATTTCAGCAGATGCTCGTCCGCCAGCCAGTACGCGGGCGCACTTAGACACCCCGGCGGGCGCCATGACACCCGCGGGCACTGCGTTGGGGACCCCTGATATAGTGGTATTACTTTTTGCAGTTCTAGCATGTTCATAAATTGGTCTACAATCACTAGCCTACTAAAGCTTAAATTTTCAACCAAGAGAAATAGAGCAAATGTCCCAGATATATAAAACTGAAAAATATTTTTAAAAAATGCTATAAATATATTTAATATTGTCAAATACTAGAATGCAGAATTAATTAATTAAAGGTAAAAGGTCAGGTCCCACAGAAATGTAAGCAGAATTTCTTTATAAAGAGCAGTTCCTGTTAGGTTTCATGTTTTAATACAAACTGTTATTTCTCCAATGTAGTGCAACTTTTCATACTTGTATCACATGCATTTTATCAACCTGGATTTAGTCCCACTCATCTACTTAAGACCTCTTCTCTTTCTCTTTCAAATCACTTGCTTCTAATTTCTTCAATAGGACGTACTTATTTCTGCTCATTCACAGACTGCAAGCACCTTTAATTCTTAAACCTGTTTCAGGATTCTTCCCCACCAGCTGCAGTAGGACTTCAAAGGACATGGTGCTCCCGCTAATGCAAATTATTCTGGGGTGTACCTAAAACCCAAAGGCATCCAAAACACACTACTGAACAGAAACAGGAATACAATTTTAAGAGGGCAGGCCACGTAGATATCAATTTCACAGTGAAGAAGCGTGGTTTGGAACTGGCCTATTGCTGGGTAACCATGACACACTGCTATTTCCTACCACTTAAACTGAAGCGAAGAGGTGGTAGCAAATGGCTGATCTCACCATATTAAAAAAAATCAGTACAAACCAATATCGCATTCAGATACAGCAGTCCAAATTCTGGTATCGTCTTTGGAAGTTAATTCACTTCGAAAGCATAGAAGAATAAGGTTTATTTAGATTTTGTTCCTATACATAAACTATTACCAAAGGCAACTATACCAGTAAATGTCCTGAAGATTTTGATAAAGGGTTCAGTTTTGGAAAACAATTATTTTTTCCTCTCAAAAACTGAAAAACTCTGCTGGTATAACAAAAAAGTTATACCAGATTGTAGTAGGAAGGGAATTTTTTGCCTGAAGAGTAAAAACAAACAAAGGTTATTACATAGTCCAGCCTTGAGCGTAGGGGACTGGACTAGATGACCTCTAGAGGTCCCTTCCAGTCCTACACTTCTATGATTCTAGGAAACAAAAACAAAAATTCTTCTGCCAAAGATACCACACATCAAGCAGAGAAATTAATGTAAAGTTACTAAAGGGACACATTCAACTTAAATTTGCCCCAAGTTAAATTTTGTAAAATCAAACTTTTATAAAAGTGAAGATCATAAGAATTTTTTTCCTTAACTTCAATGACATCTGTTTTTACATCTTCTCCCTGAAGTGTGAAACCTAGACTTTGCTATACTGAGCACCTAAAAATAAAATACAATTAACCAAAGTAGAACCAGATTGCTGGCACAGAAAATTATTTAATAATCTCCTCCAAAAATTGATAGGCACTAGTGGAAATACAATGCATGCAGTGGGGACACTCAGGATAAAGACATTTATTTAGAATTTAAATCTCTCTATATATCAGATGAAGGATAGGATAAAAGTTACAGTGGAACTTCTTTCAGAGTAGCAGCTGTGTTAGTCTGTATCCGCAAAAAGAACAGGAGTACTTGTGGCACCTTAGAGACTAACAGATTTATTAGAGCATATGCACCTTAGAGACTAACAGATTTATTAGAGCATATGCTCTAATAAATCTGTTAGTCTCTAAGGTGCCACAAGTACTCCTGTTCTTTTTAATGGAACTTCTGAAATCACAGAAATAAATTCTGGAAAATAACGTCAGACTAAGGCGTTAAATGCAAATACAGAGCAAAAAATAAATCATAAAATTTCTATCCGCCAATGCAAGTAGCTTAAATGCAAAAATAGGTGAACCAGAATGCCTTTTAAAAGAAGAGGAATCTGAACTTCTGTCATAGACATTAGTGAGTTCTTGAAACTCTCAGGAAAGAGACATGGGTGAACCAATTGGAACAGCTCCAGGCAGACCTCTGCTCAATGCACATCAGTGGTCAAAAACAAAAACAAAGTGTTAAGAGGTACAAGTATGGGATAGAAAATAAGAACAGTATAAAGCAATCATATTCTTTAGTGGTACACTCTCACTTGGAATACGGTGTTCATTTTGGATCACCATATCTCAAAAAAGAGAGAAACAGAAAGGTCCAGGGACAGGTGATTGGTATGGAGACTTCTGAATGAGGGAGACTGAAAAGACTGGGACTGTTTACTTTAGAGAGGAGACATGACAGAAATAATCAATACAATGAATGGTACAGACAAGGTAAACTGGGTGTTCTCCTGTTTAGCCTCTCACATAATATAAAAGGGTATCCAATAAAATTGAAAGGAAATTAATTTAAAACTAATGAATATACACTTTACACAGACACATAATTAACTGACAGCTCACTGCCACTGAAAATCATTAAAGCCAAGAATTTAGGAGGATTTGAAAAAAGACTAGAAATGAGAAAAACGAGAACATCTAGAATTACATAAAACAGGATAACTAATTTTTATTCATGGGATATAAACCTTCATGGTTAAGGGGAAAAGACGACAACCATTCACTGTCTGTGATTAGGAAGAATCTTTCCATATGGATAAGTTATTCCATAATTGTGCACGGTGAAGCATCTGGTACTGGCCAGTCAGATACTGGACTAGATGGACCCGTAAAGGAATTCCTATGTTCTGCAGAGAATTGCAGAACATAAACAAGGAGCATAAACAGTGACAAAGTTAATTAAAACAAATTCCAGTAATAATAATCTAAGGTGTTAATAAATTTGTGTACAACATATACTTTTTTGTGTTGACAGTGCCACTTAAAATTTTAACATTAAAGTTTATTAATGTTTAGCTTGTAGTCAGGATTCAGGAGAAAATTATTCTACTCACCAAAATTTCTTCCTTTCTAAAGCCCCAATCCAGCAATGCACTTACACATGTGAATAGTGCACTCAAGTCATTAGGACTATTCACATAGTTAAACTTAAGTGCTTTGCTAGATCAGGGCCTATTAGCAGCTACCCTACTTAGAAAGAATTTCCCCTCATGGTTGGTCACCATATTTGAGACAGTAGTGGCTAGCATTACTCTATGGTAGCTTTGGGTCTTGGAAAATGCTTGGAGTAAGGAAAAAGAAGAACAGGAGTACTTGTGGCACCTTAGAGACTAACAAATTTATTAGAGCATAAGCTT